TATATGATAAAGCTTGAAATATACAGAATTTGAAGTGCCGCAGGACATTTGGGGAATATTTCATAGAGCTGGGTCTGAAAGTCATAACCAGAGTAAAGTCATAGGCATGGATGAAATTCTTAGGAATGTGAGGAATAAAGAGATAGAATTATAGGAAAATGTTTACATATATATTATGTTTATATATATATTATACAGGGTAAATATGGGAAATATCAATATTGCTTTCATCTTGGTGATGAATATATAAGGCTATGTTTCCTGGATTGCTTTATGTTTGAACTGTTTCAGAGTTTGAAACTTCTAAATTGAACGACAGCTACTTTTTCTGGCAAAAGAGTTCATCCCTAAAGGGAAGGCAACAACTGAATTGGATAGGAAATTTTGGAGTAGGACTTGGCTACGTTTTTCAGGGAAAAGCCAGATAGTAAATATTTTCCACTTTGTGGGCATTATGGTCACTGTCTCCGCTATTCATTCTTCCCTTATAGCACAAAACAGCCATCCACTAGGAGTAAATGAATGGGCGTGGCAGTGTTCCAGTACAATTTCATTTGCAAAAGCAACCTCAGGTTGGATTTGGCTTGTGTGCCATAGTTTGCCTCAGTTTACAGTTGCCAGGGAGGTAAGTGGTTTTGCAGATAAGCAATCATAGGCTATGAGGATGATCATGAGGCCTTGAAAACCCCACATGTGTCTCTAGAGAGTTAGCTGGGGAGTTAAATCACTACCCTGTCAGCCTAAAAATCAAAATCACACATAAAATACCTTTAGCTGTTGAGGCTGTGGCAGGAGAAAACTCACAAAAATAATTCTTGATGTTTAACATTGTTGGGGGTTTTGGCTTAGATGTTTTTGTTTGGTTTTGAGTCTGTTTTCACTTGGGTGGTGGGAGCAAGTTTATCTCACATGCACCTATGAGTATTTAGCCCTGAATGATTTCCTTCAACCATCTAAGGATGTGCTAGAACCCTTGGGTTACAGAATATTTTCAGTCCCCATCCCATTTACCACTCCTACACAGCTCAGCTCTGTCATACACTGACCTCTGAAAATCTCAACAAGGTCACACTGGAAGTGAGTTCAGGAACTTCATGGCACCCAGGAGCTGTGATCTTTTCTCAATTGCATACACCTGTCGGGATGGCCGACCAGCACTGATATATCCTTTCCTAGAAATGAGAAAGCTTTCCTGGTCCATTGTAGAGCTCCTCTTCAGGTCTTCATGTGTCTAGTAAGGGCTGAGAGAGGAGTGTTGTGACTTTTTAGCTGCCTACATACTTGACTTCTTTGGCCTGGACAGACCTTGTTCTGGTATCTACAAAGGCCAGGCTTAAGGGCGTTCACTTAAGAGGAAAATCCTTCCACTACTTCTCTTTTTGCACAATCAACCTTGGCCAACACAGTCTGCTTAGGCCATCAGCATTTACAGTCCTGGCACCCCTTGCAAACTGACAACAATGTCAGGCCAGAAAGATGGTTAATAAAACCAACAGGATTTATTTACGAGCTTCTTCTGATACAAGCCAAACACAAGATGTGAAAGTAAAATGAAGTATCCTCGCGCTGTCATTCCTGGCAGTCGTGGCAACATTCCTGAGAGGTTAATTGTGTGCCAGCCATTTCTCCAAATAGCGAAGAGGTTCGGGACAGAGCAGGACTCTGAAGTGATAAACTCAAGTCCAGGGAGTCTGTGTGTGCTGGGAGGTTGGCTAAGTGAAGAGAGGCAGGCACATTCCTCCAGGGAAGCCAGCACACGTAAGGGCCAGCAATGCCACTGGCCACAGCTGACTTAACTGCCTGAAGTAAAGAGGACTCATCGTACCAGTTACAAAGCATCTCTTCCCTGCTTACCTGCTGTTGAAAGGTGCAATCCTTGGTGAGCTTATTGTTGCTGTGGGTGAAGGACAAAAGAAATAAGCTGTGAGGCAGGAGAGGGAGAAGAGCCTGACTGGGGCCCTGTCACCTGGATGTCATCCAAATCTCTTCCTTGTCCTGAAAACTGGAGGTTTGCTCTTATTGCCAGGTTCCTGTGAGACATGACTTTTAGAGATGCACGCCACATGTTCTGAAACTGATTTAAAGCACTCAAATAATGCATGCGTTGATCACCACATCTGATGCTGCTGACACGAAGAGTTTTTGTCCCAAATTGATTTGAACATGTTTGAGCTCTGCTCTAACCTGTTGAACCAGAGTGTGCCATCTTGTATGAGGCTGCAGTGGGAACTACGAGCTGAGGACCAGGAAGGACTCACAAACTCTTGGTTGTGTTTATTCAGAATGTTAATAGTGTCAGAATTATTAAAATGGGACTAAAATATTTTTAAGGGTCTTCTGAGGTCACAATCCTTCTACAGATATAATAAACTGAGGACACTGAGCAAATCCAATACTCAGTGCTGTTCATGGGTCTGTTGGAATCATGGTCACTTTTTTGCGACACTTCATGTGTGGAACAAAGGAGGTGTCAGAAAAACCCTTTAAAAACTGGGCCTTAAATTTTCAGTAATTGTGTTGGACAGAGGTTTTTACAGGAAGGGGGAGGGGAAAGAGATGGAGGAAGAAGAGGCAGAGAACAGGAGGGAAAAAGGAGAAAGTGGAAGAGGAAAAAGAGGAGTGAGAAGAGAACAAAGAGAAGGAGGGGAGAAAGTAGAGGAAGAGAGAAAAAAGAGAAAAATATTTCCCCCTCTCTGTCCTTGTTTTTTAATGCCTTTTTCCCAGTGTCATCCACATTACCCAACTCCCATGCTTTTGACAGCATAAGTGCCTGGAAGAATCCTATTTGGATTTTAGAGGACTCATTTAATTGTTTCTTCCTAGGCTCCTCCTGCTCCTTCTCCAAGTGCAAGCCATGCTTTTTCCTTGTAACTTCACATTCCTTGGAGCCACAAGTGCTAGTGTTAGCTTTCCCTTACTGCAGCAAATTACCTGAGATAATCAATTTAGAAAGAGGAAACATTTATTTTGGCTCCAGTCTTGGAGGTTTCAGTTCATGGGTGGTTGGCCCCGTTGCTTCTGGGTCTACTAGGAGAGCAGAAGATCAAGGCAGGAGTGTGTGACAAGGAAGCTGCTCACCCCCTGCTAGATGGGAACCAGAGAAAAAGAGAGAGAAAGGGAGGGGAGTCCAACACTCTCTTTCAAGAGTACCCCCTTGATGACTAAGTCCCCCTGTTAGGCTCCACCCCTTAAAGTTTTTACCACCTTCCAACAATGCCAAGCCAGGGACCAAGTCTTTAGCACCTAGGACTTTGGGGGCATTTAAGATCCAAAGAATATCAGGGAGATACTGGAATTCAGAAAGCCTATCACAGTGCTCACTCTTGAATTAATACTTCACAGAAAGTTGATGTGCAAAGCCTCTTGCTGCTTTGACCTAGACTAGCAACAGTGACACCAAAAATAATCTAGCATAGCTATGCCACACTCATGGGCTTCCCAGAGTCCAGAGCTGGGATCCTTGGATTCAAATATTTCAAATGGTTTTGTGAGCTTGAGCCTGTCATTGCCTCAGTTTCTCCATCTATAAATGAAAGTAACAGGGCTTATCTCATGGAACTCTGATGACCAACCCTATTCCACTGAAATATGTGTATTCATGCCTGATGAGTTTTGAGGACCAATAAATATTAGCAACTGTAATGTTAATATCTCTACTACCTTAGAATTTGAAGAATTTCTTATAATTAGCATTAAATTTTCAGTCATTTCTATATGATTATTTCTAGCAAATGCAATATAACTGATGCATAGTATATTATATAACCAAATAATGATATTTTATTGATATGCCTATTTGAGAGTGTGCATGCTAAGGAAGTGGAATTCGTGTAGTTTTTTCTATGAGTAGTAAAATACAGAGAATGAATGAAGGGGACAAAATGATGCTGCTGATGATGATAAGGGTCATGCTGGCAGTTACAGTTGCAAAATGACATGGGAGTCATCTCTTTTCCTAAGTATCACTGGTGCTTGATTATTCATGAAAATGTAAAAATTAAAAATGTGACTTGAACTGTGAAGTCCGTCTTTCACTTCAGTCGGAATTTGATTTTCCTCTAACAAGACGTGTTTTAGGTGGCATTCTCTCTAATTCCCATTTCTGTTGAACTGATGTCATAATCTCCTAATATCCAGAACTGGGGAAAACCCTTTGCAATGGCATTAGACAATTTTAATGTGGCCTTGGAGATTTCTTAATTCACATCTGGGAATTGCTTTCCACTATAGGATTCTAGTTTAGGATTCGTTGGAGTGAGCTGAACTGCTATGGGAAGATGTTAAATGTGGAGTGCTATTTACCCTTTAAGTCTAATAATAAGCAGAGATGAAATTATTAGATTTCTTAGGCATGTGCATTTCTATCTTTGGTGCACATTCTTAAAAACCTTGTGAACTTTCCATTTACTTTTAATTTATTAATTTTTCTAAGCCCATCTGTATCTAGTGGTTACTTTTGATGGCCCAGAGGTGGGTGCCAGGTACCAAATCCTAGGTCCCTCCTCAGTGGTTATTGCAAACCTGGCCAAATGACCCGTATTCTGTGGGTCTCAATTCACTTTACCATGAAGAGGACACTAGTACTACTGCACCTGAGGGTCAAAAGAAATGTGCATGAAAATCCCATTAGGCCTGGACTGGCCTGTATTAGAACACAATACTTGTTAAGTCGTACATAACCTTTACTGGTACTTCTTCCAACGGGCCTTGCTTTAATTTCTTTTCCTGTTAATTGTTCGAATTGTATGTTTTCTAACAGTGTTATGAATTGCTCCCTGACCTCTCTGCCTTCTGGGCGCTATTTAGGGTAGCGTCATAACTGTCGCCAAGTGTACAATTTAATCCTTTCTCACTTCTGCTGCTCCCAGGCATTCGGCAGTCAGCCAGCCCCACCTGACTGCGCCTCCTAATGAAACCAAAACGCGTTAAAAGGGAGCGGTGGACGCTGCGCTCCGTCGCCCTCCCCACCCACCCACTGACTCTCTGCGCTCTCGTTGCAGGATGTTCTGGAAGCTTTCTCTCTCCTTCTTCCTGCTGGCCTTGCTGGTGAAAGTGGCTGAAGCCCGAAAGAACCGGCCGGCGGGCGCCATCCCCTCTCCTTACAAGGACGGCAGCAGCAACAACTCGGAGAGATGGCAGCACCAGATCAAAGAGGTGCTGGCCTCCAGCCAGGAGGCGCTGGTGGTGACCGAGCGCAAGTACCTCAAGAGTGACTGGTGCAAGACGCAGCCGCTGCGGCAGACGGTGAGCGAGGAGGGCTGCCGCAGCCGCACGATCCTCAACCGCTTCTGCTACGGCCAGTGCAACTCCTTCTACATCCCGCGGCACGTGAAGAAGGAGGAGGAGTCCTTCCAGTCCTGCGCCTTCTGCAAGCCCCAGCGTGTCACCTCGGTCCTCGTGGAGCTCGAGTGCCCCGGGCTCGACCCGCCCTTCCGACTCAAAAAGATCCAGAAGGTGAAGCAGTGCCGGTGCATGTCCGTGAACCTGAGCGACTCCGACAAGCAGTGAGCTCCCGCCGGACGCAGCTCAGCCCTGCGCGCCGGGAGCTGGGGCTCGCCGCCGCCGCCGCGTCCTCTGAGCTGTCTGGCGTCCCCCCCGCAGCCGGCACGTCGCTCGGGGCTGACGGTGTCCTTGCCCCGAACGTGGACCCCAAGTGGAGCTTGGCCGAGTGTTCCTGACCGCCTTGGGGCCCCACCTGCGCGTCCAAACCTGGCCGTGGCTCAGGCGCCATGGAAGATGCTAGGACCCCAGCACCACCCCGCGCAGTCAGACAGGACTCTCCTTCCGGCGATGCTCTGCCAAGCCGGCCTGGATGCTTCCACCGTGTGGAAGCGAGTATTTCTCTGGCCTCGCTTGACATTCAGCTCGCTTCTTCCCGTGGGATGGAGGCATCGCCCTTGTGAGGAGCCCCTCAAACTTCCCCTGCTGGTCCCTGGACCTCTGGGAGGTGGGGCGCATTCATTCTTGAGACTTCAGCGCTGCCCGGGGCTGCTGCTGAGATGCTGATGTGGACAACGTCCATAAAAGGGGTGTCCGTGGGCGGGAGTCGCCTAACAAACCTGACAGCGAGAAGACACCGTGAGCCACTTGGGTCCTCACTCTCTCTCTCGGCAGGCCACGCCCTCCTCACCTGCAAACACCTCCACCTCTTCTTCCTTCCTCCCCCATCCGTCTCCACCTGTGGACTCAAGATGAACTCTGGTGTGCATGCTATTATCGCTGCAGTTAGAATATTATCACACACAAGGTCTCTATATTAACGCTGGTTTTATAATTGACCTATATTGTAAAGAACTGTCGTTTTTTTTAAAAGTATTCTAGATCTATCCATGTATTGTTTCACGTGTTTTGACCCTGGCTTTGCAGGATCCTTCTGAGTAGGGTGGAGCGTGGGTGACGATCTGCCCAGAAAGTATTGTACTCAGAAGTACTGCCTGGCCAGTAATTCACTGCCGTGCACCTATTATAGATTGGGTAGGGAGATGGAGGGAAGTCGTGATTTTACTTTGAATATTGCATCACTGAAGGTACTAAAAGCATTGCAGCACATGTAGAAATTGGGTTGGGATGAATGAGTGCGGGGAGGGAGATTTACTGGGAAGTTTTTAATGCAAACCCCTTATAATATTTAGTGTGCATATGTGGGGGGAGGTGGTACTGCTTTTACTGCCATGATACTAAGAAAAACACCATTTACTGTTCAAATAAGAGATATTTAAGAATATAAGGAATCAGGTCACTTTGTGATGCAGGAGGAAATAAAAGATAACTATATAGAAAATAGTAATCTAGTTGAACAGTCCTAGAGAAAGTAACTAGTATCCTTTCCAAAGGATAGACTTTAAAAACCTTGAGCAAACATTAGGTCACCTTTCATTACGCTAATGGATCGTTGAAGTTCCTGTATTGTAGTCCCTTGGTATAAGGAAGTTGACATAATTTATTTTCCTGCAAAATTATGCCCACTTTGAGTCCCTTTGCTAAGCTGACTCAGCAAGGCATCCTGTGAGGGATGGTGGTGAGGTCTAGTAAATGTGAGTGAGATGTCACTGGTAGGAGTCCACATACTCTTAGAAACCTTTCTCCGGCAATTTCCAAGCAAGTGCTCCTGCCCACGGGGTTGGTTCCCTAGTAAATGAGAGAGATCCTCTACAAGCTGCTCTAGGGACTGAGCTTCCTGACACTACACAGTCCGAGCAGATCTAGAGTCTGTCACCTGGAGAGCGGGGATGGGGGTGAGGTGTGGCATGTTGGTAATTATTTCCTGCTGCTGTACTGCATGTTTTATATTTTTGTTACTTCTTTACTACCATTTAAAAGAGAACCTGAGCACAGTCTGTACTCTTGTGAAGGGAATCTTGGCTTCAGAAATGCATATATACAACCTGAAATTAGAAAGCAGAAATGAAAAAAAAAAAAATCACTGAGGGCTGGAACGTGAGGATGGAGACAAGTACAGAGGGTATACAAGGTCAGAATGGATTTTTACATTTAGCAGAAAACTTCAAGTCAGGCTCAGTGCAGAACAAGCAGCAGAAAAGCTGTGAAGGAAGGAAATCCATGTGTTCCTAACGGAAGTTGACGGAGGAAGGAGAGTGGGAAGGCAGGGGAGGAGTCTCTGACTCAACTGCAAGGTCAGCCCTATCATTCTATTAACACACAACCCACATAGATAGGGGAAGGATTGAGCTAGGTACTCACAGAATACAAGCCTGAGCCCTCTCTTGGAACCCAGTCGTGGGTGTAGCAACGAAAGCAATATGATATGCTGCAGGGTGAAGCTCCTTTGGGGGGTTATTGTATGTATAAAGTTTACCTTATAATGGCTCAAAATGTATTTAATTGTTTTCTGTTTTGTTTATAAATGAAAAATCTATAAGTATAATGTAATTATTTTATAGGTATACTATTAAATTATAGAACAAATAAAGATACTCTAGGATTATATGTGATCCTGGTGTGCTGTGCCATAAAAGTGGAATTCTAAACTTGTTTCAGTGGGTGGCAAAGGAGTTCTGTGTGTTCAGAGGGCGTCTATCCAGCCACAGTGAGTTCAACCCTGGCCCCCATCACATGATCTCCTGGGGGGCCTGACATCGCCAAGGAGAATCAGAATCAGATGTTGAAAGAGAGGAGGTGGTGGGTGCGGCTTTTAGTCCTGGTTTGGGAAGCATCCTGCTTCTACCTTATTCCCCACCAGCTGAAGACAGAACTTTCTCACTGTGTTCTCTGGATAGGAAATACTGGGTGAAGAGGCCCGGAGAAACTGCAGCAAGCAGAAGCCCGCTGTAAGCCTCCTCTTCCCTTTCGCAGCCAATACGCTGCTCTGTCTCCTGCGCAGGCTAGAAACCGGCATGAGTTTTGTTCATTTTCACACTTCTCACGGGTTTTGATGTTTCTTAATTTAAACACTTCTTAGTTTCACAGTGTTGCTATTTTTCTACTAATCAAACTGTCTGCCCCTCGAGAAACTCAATGATCAATAAAAAGTAAAATCCTTAATAAAACTGCACATGGTTGATTCACTGTATGAAATCTGAAAGAATGAAATTCAACTTACTGAGAAATAATTCATCTTACTTTATTAAATGGGATCAAATATTCTGCTTTGGCTTAACGTATTCCAGTTTGCTTGGCTGGCTGATTTTAAAGTCATGAAGTCAATGAAAATGAATTTTTGCTGCTAAGTGAACAACTTAGAATGTATTCCTAGAAAGTTCATTAATAATTGATCAATCACTATTGATTACAAATGTCTGCCTGAGAGATGAAAATAAGAGCAAATCAAAAACAATGCTATTAAAACTTGCTGATCATCAGGTTATCTTTAGAATACTCCTGAACCTCTGCCTTGCCTCAGTCCTCTTTTAGTTTCTTGGGAACTACTTCTTAAGCACAGCAGGCTATCCATCCACTTTACCAAAAGCAAAATATGGAAAACTCCTGTTTTGTAGTTAGGGCTGTATCCACGGATGTTTCTGGGTTGCTAGCTTCTCTGGTATTTAGTCTAGAAAATGCAATAAAACAAATAAAATCAGGGAATTCATTATGATAATAGCCTCTGAGTCCTAAGATCCCTATCTGGCCTACCTTTCTTTGTCTACTTTTTTAAATGGATGGAGGATTGAACCCAGAGCCTTTGTACTGAACTTCTTTATTATTTCATTTCATTTTTGAGACTGCTAAATGGCTAAATGGCTGAAATTGAACTCGAGATCTTTCTTTCTTGGGCTCCAAGAGTTCTGATATTATAGCTATGCACCCTTGTACCAGGCTCCTTCAGCTATAGATAGATGATAGATAGATAGACAGATAGATAGATAAATGATAGATAGATAGATAGACGGACAGATAGATAGATAGATAGATTAATACCTAGAGATTTTAGTGGGAGAGACAGGAAAAATATGTCTGTTCTACCTTATTGGGAGTCAGAAGTTTCCTGAATGTTTATAAGGTTAATCACCCACTCTAAGGTATATAGTGTAGATGCCTACCAAAGCATCCAACATACTTGTCCCATATTTCTCAACTGGCCCTATTATATCATATCAATCATAAGGTAGATCAGTGTAGTGTTTTACAGAATGTCCATATAATCCAGGTATTTTTAATTTATATTTTGACACAGGATAATAAAATCTTAAATAGGCCAGAGGCAAGATCATAAATATCAACTGTTGTCTATCTCAAAGAAAAGTGCATCTGGCTTTCCTTCATGATAGGTATAGAAAAAAAATTAAGTCAATATGGTGACATAAATTGGAATATATAGTTGCCACCATAATAATCAGGTATTGGAGAGTTTCGCTGATTTTCCCCATTCCTTCTGGAGTTCAGCACTGCTTTCCATTTACTCTTTGCTGGGGTAGTAAGCAGCTTCAGAGCTTCTACTTGCTCCTCCTCACTACAGTAGTCCTTGTCTAAGAGGTCAGAGAATCAGTGTGTGTGAGTTTCAAACTGCCAAGAGCATCCTTTACCATTCTGTATTTGGAAATGAGTGAAAGTCCTTTACCATTCTGTATTTGGAAATTCAGTTGGCCCATGCAGTGGTGGGCCCACTGAGAGCCAGATGTTAGCTGGGACTCTAGTAGTCCAGCTGTGCCTCTGCTATAGTAGGGAGTCATGGTGATTCATTTGATCTCCAGGTATTAGAGTTAATTAAGACCCGGTATTCAGTAATCTCAAAAGTGCTAAGTATTCTTTTCTTCATAGCACATATACCTGAATAACTGGTCCAGAGTTTTCAGGGTAATGACTGTGGAAGTACCCTATGGGTAGATTTGTCCCCATACTGCAAAGGCTTTACTCATAGGGAAGCAGCTTCACTTTAAGCCAGTTGGTTCTATGTCTGATCTGGAAGTCAGACAAGGAATCACAATTTTTTTTTTTTTTTAGGTTTTTTTATTTTAAAGATAAAAGAACCAAAATATATTAACAAGCACACAGGCACAAAAACAGCATAAGAACAATAAAAGCAATACAGAATGTCAGACAAGGTGATAGGAAATTAACAATGGCTGTTGTATTACATATTGTTATCTTCAAAGTGGTTACTCAGGTAAAGAAATATAGGCATGTAACATTGATAAAAAAATTAAACATTAACTGTTCCTTTCAATAAAGCAATAGAAATTAGTAGAATGATTATCTTAGCTATCGTGTGTGTGTATATATGTATATTCATATTTTCCCTTCTATCTTTCTTTTCTCTTTTCCCTCATCCCAGTCATTCTTTCCTTTTGAGCAGTTTCTTTCCCTTTTACGATATCTATTGTACCTTTTAGATTTTATTTACTCTTTCAGCTTCTTACACGAGGGAGGCAATATGATGTTTACACATGTGGGTCTGATTTATTTCACTTATGAGTATGGTCTCTAGATGCATCCATTTACCTATAAAAGTTTCGTGTTTATCTTTCTTTATAGCTGAGTAATGTTCCAATATATAAAAGTACCAAATTTTTTTTATCCATTCCTCAGTTGATGGGCATTTGAGTTGTTGCCACAATTTAGCTATTACAAATTGTGCTGCTATAAACATGGGTGCACATATATCTCTGTGCTGTGGTGTTTTCAGTTCTTCTGGAAAAATACCCAAAAGAAAAATAGCTGGGTTTAATGGGACCTCTAGTCTTAGTTTACTGAGGAATCTCCGGAACGATCTCCACAGTGTTTGCACCAGTCTATACTCCCACCAACAGTGGAGGAGGGTTCCTTTTCCCCCACAGCCCCTCCAGCATTTGTTATTGGTTGATTTCTTGATAATAGCCATTCTTTCTGGGGTGAGATGGGATCTCAGTGTTGTTTTAATTTGCATTTCTCAAATAACTAATGATGTTGAACATTTTTTTCATGTATTTTTTTGCCTTTTGTGTTTCTTTATCTGAGAAGTGTGTATTCATCTCAGATGCCCATTTTTGAATTGGGTCTTTGAATTTTGGGGGCCTGATTGTTTTCAACTCTATGTTCAAGATAGAAGTCCTTTATCTGAGGGACAATTGGCTAAAATTTTTTCCCAGTTTATGGGTATTTTTACTCTGTTGGTGATTTCTTTAGATGTGCAAAAGCTTTTCAATAGATGAGATCCCAGTCATCGATTCTTTGAAGAATTTCCCATGCAGTTTGGATTTTGTCCATGAGCTCTGTGCCTATACCCACGTCTTCAAGATTTTTACCTACTTTCCCTTCCAGTAGATTTAGTGTTTCTGCTTTAATTTTTAAATCTTGGGGCCATTCTGACTTTAGTTTGATTTGTGGTGATAGAGATGGGCCTAGTTTCAGTCTTCAGCATATGGCAAGGCAGTTTTTCCAGTACTATGTATTAAAGAGGCTATCTTTCTTCCACTAAACTTGTTTGGCCCCTTTGCCAAAGATAAGGTGGCTGAGTGTGTTTGGAATTGTGTCTTCATCTTCCAGTCTGTTTCACTGATCCTCAGGTCAAGTTTTTTTTTGCCAATACCATGCTGATTTCATCACAGTAGCTTTGTGGTATAATTTCAAGTCAGAGATTGTGATACCTCCTGCCTTGCCTTTGTTGCCCAGGATTGCTTTTGCTATTCTGGGTCTCTTCTGGTTCCATACCAAAACCAGAGAAAGACCCAACCAAAAAAGAGAACTACAGGTCAACCTCCCTAGCAAATATAGATACAAAGAAACTCAATAAAATACTAGCAAACAGAATGCAGCAAATCATCAAGAGGATTATACATCATAACCAAGTGTGATTCCTCCCAGGGATGCAGGAATGGTTCACCATACACAAACCAATAAATGTAATATACCGTATCAACAGAGCTAAAGACAAAAACCATATGATCATCTCAACAGATGTAGAAAAAGCTTTTGACAAAGCCCTAAACCCATTCATGATAAAAACTCCAAAGAAAATTGGAATAGATGATCAATCTATGACAAACCAACAGTCAACATCATAGTAAATGGAAAAAAACCTGAAAGCTTCCACTTTGAAATCAGGAACAAAACAAAGATGTCCACTATCACCACTCCTATTCAGTATAGTTCTGGAAACATTAACCAGAGCAATTAGACAAAGGGAGAGAAATAAAAAGAATAAGGATAGGAAAGGAAGAAGTAAAACTATCATTATTTGCAGATGACATGATACTCTACATAGAAGACCCCAAAAACTCCACCAAAGGACTTCTAGAATTAATAAACAAATTCAGTAGCATAGCTGGATACAAAGTCAACACACTAAACTCAGTAACATTCCTATACACAACAAACACACTGAGAAATTAAGGAAACCATACCTTTCACAATAGCACCCCAAAAATTAAAATACTTAAGAATCAATCTAACAAAAGAAGCAAAAGGTCTATACAGTGAAAAGTGCACTACTCTGAAAAAAGAGATCTAAGAGGATTTCAGAAAACAGAAAGGCATTCCTTGCTCATGGATAGGAAGAACCAACATTGTGAAAATGGCC